TATCCATTGGTTGAGCTCGACTTCCATGTGTAAAGGGATAATTAAGTGTTTCGATTTTTGCACTCATAAGTTTTATGAGATGCCGCAATTTCCAGATAATATTTTCTGGGATTTACCCAAATTGACGGTCTTACAAGGTCAATTGTGTCTAGTGACGATCTATTTGGATATATGGGTATTAAAAGAGTATGGCAACAGCAAGTCTTGGACTCAAATATTTCGTAACCTTTATAGGGTATCACATAGCAATTATGCTGCATTTCGAAAGTGGAAAATTTATAAGAATATTGCTTGCTTAAAAGATAGGAGTAATATAATTGTAGTACTCACACAACCTAGTCATCATAGGAGATTACCCATACAAGTAGTAAAAAGCGTGTTTTGCTGTGAGCTAGAATCCGGAGCTAGTAAGAAGATTGATTTGTTGGGTTTACCGGATGATCTGATGATGGCGGCTAAACAACCTTGGGTTGAATCGCTTGTTGATCCCCTTGCATTATCTATCAATAACTAAAGTAGAATATTAGAAATAATGAAGAGATTTGGAAAGAAAAATATGTTACGTTACTATATGCTACATTTATTGGTTATACTTGTATTATAGTGAAGTATTATTGGATGGATTGATATGCATTTTGTAGTTCATTATGCTAGGCTTTTATTGGATTATCTTAATTTGTTTTGCTGCAAATAGGAGACTTCATATTGTGCAAAATATTGAATAAATTAACCCGACATTATAATAAGATGGAACGCTATTATTTTCTTTTAATTTGGTGATTTTTTTTTGGTTGTACAACACTAGAATTTGGAGTTATCATGGAGGCAACTTCCTCCACTGAAGCTTCTAACTCCATATTCCTTCCCCAATTGTCTAGGTTGTACTAGAACGGGTACAGGATTGAGTACAAATACAAAACAGGTACGCAATACGGTTGTTTAGAAAATAGAGGATACGGTTATGGTTAATTAAGTATGTTATAATATACTTAAAAAGATTTTATGAAATTTTCAATAGTATTTGATAAATTTTACTTTATATATATATATATATATATTCTAAGAAGGCGAAAAAAATCATTCATCTAATTGAATAAACTTAATATAAAGTTTGTTAAAAAAATATTTTCAAAATATACAATAAAAGTATATATCAAAGTACCCTTACCCATAGGGATAAGGGTGCGTATTGCGTGTTCGATACGGGTACGGTGATAATTAATTATAAGTACTTATGGGCGATTTTCGCCATTTTTGATACGGTAACTTCTCCGACTCCCCCACCATATATATATATATATATATATATAATATAATAATATATATATATATATATATATATTCTTCTTTCGTCTCCACTGGTGACACCACCATCAAATCAAAAGAAAAAACTTGTGAAAAAGGTTGGACTTTAGGGCATGGTCAACCCCAAAAGGTGCGGGTGATCATGTCTACCATTAATGCTTGATTTTCTCCATTGTTAGTCTTTAGATTTATCTTATAAATTTTCTCCATTAAAGCCTAAAATAACAATTTTCTGGCTTATTAAACTACAGCCGAAATTTGTTACAAATTGACAATTTGAGACATCCTTTTTAAGCAGACTTAAATCTGCAAACAAAAAGATATATGGTCGTCGCCTCCCTCTTATTCCTAATAAGATGTCGGAATATACAGAATCAAAAAAGTCATATTCAAATTTTATTGAATTTATTTAAATTATAAGTTAAAAGTCTTAATTATTAATAGAAAATGGTTATTCAATTGCCCACTAAGAAACCAGTCATTGACAATTTATATTTATAAATAACTTTATAGGCATGTTTGAAACTGGTAAGGTTTTCACTGGTTAAGAGAAACATGTAAAATCGAATTGAAAATGTAAATTGAAGTATGGAAATTCATGGATTGAAAAATTTTAAGATTTAAAAAGGGATTTTAATAACTACGTCGCAGACAAACCAGTTTTTACCGCATCTCCTCACTTCGCGTGCATCTGGCTGAATTGCACCAACTAACAAAAATTAATCAAGTATACTATTACGGAGTAATAATAATTGACAACAAAAAAAATCCATCTAATAGCCCTTCAACAACAAATACGTGTGAATATATATTACTTTACTACCCCCACTAAACCCAGGATAACAAAATTGCACTTCTTGATAAACAATATACTTGTTCATTAGACTAATGAACTTGTATGTCCTCCTAAGAGATGTTGTTTTGTCTTCATTCCGGTCATTTTATTTCTTGAATAGAATAAATGAAAACTTAAACCAATATGCGCGCCAACAAACTCATCATATTAGTGCAACCCTAATCAACTCTTTCACTAACTAAATAACCAACAAACACATAATTTGTGGTTTGTTATACTGTTTTTTTGTGTGTTTGGTGATGGCGTTTGGTGGGTATTAGTGGTGTTTGCAGCAGTCGTGGGTGGGGGAGAAGGGGTACGAGTTAGGGTGGTGGGATTCGTGGGTGGGTAGGGGCATTGGGGCCATCTTGGTAGTGGGTAGTGGTGTGGGTTACGGGGTTGGGGCCTGGCGGGTCGTGGTGGTAGTGAGGATGGTTCGTGGTGCGGCATAGTGGATCGTAGTTGGGGCAGTGGGTGGGTTTGGGTCATGGGCAAGGGTATTTCACATCTCGTGTTCAGGTTCAACGTGACATCTCAACCTAGCATTATTTGCTAGGTATTTTTTTTTTAATTTCCAAAATAAGCATTTGTAACTGACAATTGATATGTCCGTTACAAATAGGTAACGGACATATCAATTTGTTCGTTACAAATAGGCACCTATTTGTAACAGACAATTGTAATGTCAGTTACAAATAGGCAATTATTTGTAACGAACAATGTCTGTTACAAATGACTGGACTATTTGTAACCCCAGCAGTCGTAACCCCCAATGTTGGTTATACATACCACTGCGAATATAGTACACCCACCACACCCACCGGCAAAGACATTTGAGTAAAAAACGACGTGCATAACTAGCAACACTCTCCATCAACTTATTCAACACCAATTCACACCAATTGTACGAAGCAGCATCCATAGCACAAGTCAAGGCAGGAAACAAATCACAGCCCAACCTAGGGGACTGTGTAGGGCACAACATTATTTCAAGTGACAACAAGAACAATGTCTTGAATTCCTCCTCCTCATGTGCCTCCTATTTCCCCTCCAGCCTTTCCATCAACTTTGAATTCACAGGTATGCCAATGGATATATACACTCTACCTGCAAACTTCCTTGACCTTGTCTTAGAGGGTGGACCATATTTTTCCTTGATTTTATTGACCTTTTCTAGCAAAACAGATGACTTACACTTACCGGTGGGGACAGTTAAACCACCATTAGGAATGCCTTAGACCCAATGAACTTGATTAGCAGATAACCTAGATTGATTCCCATCAGGTGCAATTAGAACCTTATTAAGGGGATCTATCCGACTCATTAACCAATAACCCAACTGCCGAGGTAAGTGTATGTCACTTGGAGCTGTCAACAACCCACCAAAACCCATTTCGTTAACCCAACATATTCTTCTGTCATCAAAAGTGTGACATATTCTAGAAAAGGTCTCAATACGACAATTCATATTCGATGGCTGCAAAATTAAGGGTAGCATAGAGAATTACTAAAATTAGTCCACCTTCTAAATTTCGCAGATTAAAAGAAAAAACAAAACACTAACTTAAAACATACCCTCCCAAACACATTAACTTGTTGCTTATTAACCTCACCCTTTCCCTTCACTTGACCACCAACGCTAATAGAATCATCCTTGACAAGATCAACATCATATCATTCTAAATTTGAAATGAATCATTCTAAATTTTAAATGGGTTAAATAAACTAATCAAATCAATACAATATATATCAATAAGCATACCATAAACAATTTAGTTCGAAGAACTTTAACTTGAGGACTTGCTGAATGAGTCCTAATCTATTTAGATCAAAATTGCACAAATCCACTATTCACTTCACAATTACTACACTGAACACATGTTCAATTGGAATTGGACCAAAATTATTATAATTTACTATTCTAGGAATCCCACATCGATTTTGGAATGAGCGCATTGTCTCCAACCAAACTGCATGTATACAACAGGTTCACATAGTATCACAAACTAACAACCTAGAATCCCAATACACTACATCATAAACCTGTTATCAATACTTAAAACAAAAGCACAATTACAATACACTAAATGGTATCATGGTTCATAATGCAAATAACCCCAAAATACAAATTCCACCAAAGAAAACTCAAATTGCTATTTCACAATTCGCCATTACACAAATTGCTATCACCGGTTCATATAAAACTAATAATGAGCAAAACAAATCACATAGACAATTAAAAAAGAATCAAACAAACATACCTTAACTGCTATCTCGCAGCAACGAACTCAACAAACTAAACAATGTCGCTCGCAACCACGATCGACACAACTCATTCGCTTTCTCCACGACCTGAAGATCGACTTATGCTTCAGAGGAACAATTTGATTTTCCTGATATGAAGCCGAACCGAGCCCTAACTTCGTTCCAATTTTCGCCTCTTTCTCGCTCCTAGGGTTACATTTTACGCTCGTTAGTCTTACCGTAACACTTTGTTTGGATTGAAGGAAATGGAGGGAAAGGAAGGGAAGGGAAATGGAGGGATATATTATCTTTCATTTGGATAACCAATGAGGAAGGAAGGGGATTGGAGGGGAGAAAAATGGAGGGATAAAATTGTAAGAATTTGATCTCTCCTACAATGGAGAGATTTGGAAGGAAAACTCATCTTTTTTCCCTCCCCTCCCTTCACCTCCCTCCCCTTCTTTTCTTTCCCATTTCTTTATCCAATCACACCGTTAGTCAAACATTTGCTTACCGTTTGCCCCTTGTTATTGTCAACTTGATAAATTACAATAACACCCATGCATTAAAAGTTTTCGTGACAAAAGTACCCCCGAGAGAAAACAATTTTCGTTTCTCTCGGAGATGAACTTGTATTTGCCATAAGATCTCCTTCTTTTCCCTTCTCTTCCTTTCTTTTCCCCTCCTTTCCTTTCTCTTCTTTTCCATTACTAACAATGAACCAAACAAAGCATTAGTGTATACTAGTTGAATTTCCTGCTAATTTTGGCTCTTGGGTTTCCCTTACAACACAATTTGCCAAACACGCCCTCAGAAAAAAACTCTTCTGCTAATTGTCTGATCAAATAGTTCTTCTCTTTAAACCCTTGATCTGCCGAGAATTTTAGAGAGAGAAAGAGAGAGATTTAGTAAGAAAAAGTACAGGAGAAAAAAGGGGGTGTTTTACAACTATGTCTTTGGGGTATGCTGAGAAGCTTTCGTACATTGAAGATGTGGGCAAAGTTGGGATGGCTGAATTTTTCGAATCACCTCGCATTTTACAAGAGAAAGTAAGGGTTTTTGATAACTTAGGGTTCTATGATTTATATACCCTTCTTTTTGTTTGCTTTATGCATTTATTTGTTTGTTTACTTGTAAAGTTTATGACTTTGATCTGTTTATATAGTACCCATATAATGCTATTAGGTTATGGACTTTGATAGTCCGGAATTTATGTGCTTTTATGAATTTTGATGATTTGGTCATTTGGGTTTTTGAGATTGGTTCTGTTTAAATGAAACGGATTGAAATTCATTAGCTTCCTAACCTGCATTGTTCGAATTTTTAAGATGATAATGATGGTTAATTTGTTTGATCAAGTGTGATTGAGGTTTGATTGTGCACATTCTTGTGGTTGGACTACTTCGGATAAATCAAGAATGATCTATTTCATGTCCGTCGTTGTGGTATGTATATGAATTTGATCTACTTGGTAGGGAAGTGAACCTTTTGCTTTGATTCTTGAATGGAGGTAGAATTGTGTAAGGATTTAATAGCATGTTTATGTTTTACTGAAAAAGAGTTTGTCTACATATCCTCATAGTTAGCATTGTCACGGAAGTAAATAGTGAAGGCAGGATGTTGTTTCTGGTCACTGAAAGGTTGAATTCCTGTGCAAAGTGTCAAAACTTTAGGATTCTAGTCTGCAATGCTATGTTACCACAATAGCATGCACTTTCAGACATGAATATCTGTTTGGCTTACACTAGCATGACATAAACAACTGTTTCTTATGCTCCCGAAATTAACTTTTGCAAGTATATGTATATCTTGTAATTTGCAACACTGACTTCAATAATTCTGCTCTATTGTTCTGGCAGGTAGGACAACTTGCGAATATGATTCGAAAGGTTTGAGCTTCAAATCTTATAGCATATCATATATCTTTGATGATTCTTTCTATGCTTTGTTAAATTTTCTAAGCCTCATTGGTGTTTTGCAGAGTAAGCATATGGTTGTATTTACTGGTGCTGGTATTTCTACTTCTTGTGGAATTCCTGATTTTCGAGGTCCCAAGGGAATCTGGACACTTCAGGTAATGTTATTCGTTTGTGTCATTTCTGTTTGTTGATTGCAGTGGCATAAACCTGAAGAAAAAAAGTTTAAGAGCTACGGAGTAGCAATTTCTTTTTGGTGAATCTAGCTGGATTGATGATTATTATTATCTTATGCTTAGTGGTTTCTATGACGTTATTCTTATTCTTCTTTTGCTTAGTCATTTAGTGGTTCATAAAGTTAAGGAAGTTATATTAGGAAGTATGTGTCTTAATGATAATCTAAAACAGATTTTATATAAATCATTTTGTCAGCTGTTTTTTCTGCTTTATGACAATTTATTCGAAAAATTCTGTAAGAAGACTTTTTACGAGCTGTGTCATGGTTGTTTTGAGTGGATTTCTCATGCAGATTGTAGAGTAGATCTTTCTTTTTTCCTCTTTCAATGTTTGGGAGCTTGGGACTTTGTGATTGAAGCATCACTTTTGATGTTGATGTGCACATCTAAACCTGAGGCTGTAATAAGCTTTCGGTTTGCAGAACTCTAGGGAGTAGGGCCGGGCTATGAATTCTATTGCATCAAGAAGAGCCCAGATTTTTTCCCTCCTCTCATCTGTATACGATAATTTCAATCCTTCATTTTTATATCACGCTCCAACTTTGTTATTGAAGTCTCTTTAAGGGATTATTAGGATCAACTTTATCAATTATATACTAGTGCGACTCTATATTGTAATATTGCCCTGATATTTTGCTGGAAAAAAGCCCTTAAAATGAACTTAGTTTTTTGGTTTTCTAAAGTGATGGTTATAATCGAATTTGTAGTTTCTGGCTCTGTCAATTGAAATGCACGCATTCACTTGTCTTGCCATTATGTCAATCTGTTGAAGACTTAAAGTTAGAAATTCAAAGTGCTCATCATTTGTCATGAACCCTTACAAAGTGTTATTTGGAAACACATTTTGATTCTTGCCCTCCCAAGTCCCAATTGATTTTATTGGTTCATGTAGTCAATTAGTTTTGGGCATGTTGCTAGATTATATATCTTTTACAAGATTGATATTCTGTTATGTAGACTTGCCACGTAATCTGTATATTTATCATTGCTTATGAATCCTTATCAGTGATGTTTATTATGATTTCTTCTGGTGGCAGCGTGACGGCAAGGCCTTACCTAAAGCAGCTTTGCCTTTCAATCGAGCAATGCCTAGTATAACCCATATGGCTCTGGTTGAGCTAGAAAAAGCTAGTATCCTCAAATTCGTTATTAGTCAGGTTTGTTCTCTCTCCAAGATTTTATATGCGTAGAACTAATGGAAGATTTGGTACAATGAAAGCGCGAGATTGTTTATTATTGGTTCTTGCTGGATAGAGAAAACCTTTCCTATGCTTTGTAATAGGTGGCATGTAGATTACAATACTTACAAATATTTTGCTTGGGCATCAGTCAGCATACTTGTCTTCAGAAGGACTGTTTATTCCCTCAGTTATAGTGTAGTAAAGCATTGGAGTAACTTTTGTATACATCCGGTGTACAGTAATTTACTGTACATCGGGGGTCACTTTTATCAAATTTAGGGTCACTTTTACAATTTTTTGGGTAACTTTTATCAATAAAGCATAAATACTTTGTAATTTTTATTTATGTCAGGGTAACTTTTATTCATATTAGGGTAACTTTTGCTCATTTTAGGGTAACTTTATAACGGATGTACTTTATTGTACATCCGATTTTATTGAAAAGTTTGTCAAAGAATTGGTGCCAAATTGAAGTTTTTCCTTTAAAGAGAGTTTGGAAAAAGGGATAGGGGTAGGAAGGATAAGAGGGTGGGATAAGGATAAGGATAAATTTATGTGTGTCCTTGTTTGGTAAGAATTGGGAATAAGATTAGAATTAAGGGCAATATACTAAAATACCCTTACTAACCCTTTTCTTCTCTCTTTTACCTTCCTTTTTCACTAAGGGTATAATGGTCTTTTAAGATCAAAATCCTTAACCCTCCTCTTATACCACCCCCCTAGAGGTATAGATTTAGAGGGATAAAGGTTTATTTTTTTTAATTTTTTTTTTTTTATCCCTACCCTTCCTCTATTTCCTATCCACCAAAACAAACACTAAACGTCACCGATTCCTTCTCTCTTATCCCTATCCCTTTACCCTTATCCCTCCTACCATACACCTTCTGAAGTTACTATTAAGGTTTAAGGGTACTGTCGACAAGCTGTAGGCTTGTAGGCTTGACAAACTAGTTTCAGAAAGAAACTCTTACCAAATGAAGTAGTAGTTGGTAACAAAATTGGTTAGTAGGTCTATTAAATCTATATTTGTCACATAATTTGCGAAATTTTCACAAGTTATATATTTTTTGAGGAAAGAGAGAGTAATAAACAGTAAAGATATCGTCGATCTTGGGCTGGACCCTTTGCGGGATCCTTATACTTTCATCTGAAGATATAAAGACTCTGCTGGAGACTAACTATTATAGAGAAGTAATTGTCTGTATGACTGTACTCTGTAGTACTACTCTTCCACTTCATGAGGTTGTCCAGCAGCTCTAGAATCCTTCTTAATTATTAGAGACATTATACTGATTGTGTAATACTCATGGATAGGCAAATGCATTGCATCTATAACTCTATACTTGGTCAATATGACTTCTTTTTCATTTTTTTATTTTTATTATTTGCCTGAAAAATACTGCAGAATAATTATTTTCACATGATTAATTTTCTTGTATCAATCATTATGCTAAGTGATCTCGTTTTGAAATGCTAGAATGTTGATGGTCTCCATATTCGGTCCGGGATACCACGGGAAAAACTTGCAGAGTTGCATGGGGACTCCTTTCTGGAAGTTTGCTCATCTTGTGGAGTCGAGTAAGGCTTTATACTTAAGTCTTAATTTTTTTTGAGGTTCCTTTCTATGTATTTTCTTTTTCTATAATGTTACTTTACATTTAGTGTCAGTTGGCAGTTGAGAGGTGCTTTTTTGCCTTTCATTTCTTATTGGCTGATCTTTATTGATACAATCTCTCTGTTGAATGTAAATTGGAAGATATGTACGAGATTTTGAGATTGAAACAATCGGATTGAAGGAAACACCCCGGCGTTGTTCCGATACATCTTGTGGTGCAAGATTAAGGGATACTGTTCTTGACTGGGAGGTAGCATGCCTCTTCTGATACCATTTTCTTTCCCGATAGGTTTCAGTTGTAAAACCTAGAACATCAATTTTAAAATAATTATCTATAGAGCTTTATGCTACTATCATGTTGGAAAATTGCAATTGCAACAATACAATGGTTGGAAGGGTCATCATACATATCATGGACAATGATCCATGAGCATAAGTGGATAGAACACAGTTTTTTGTAGATGTTTCTTCTGAAAGTACGAAACCTTTTTACTTATCAATCTACCTTTCAGGATGCATTACCCCGAAAGGAGATGGATGCAGCCGAAAAGCACTGTAAAATGGCTGATCTCATTTTGTGTTTAGGGACAAGGTAATTATCTGATCTCTTGTCAGTTTCTGTTCATTTTCTTACTTGTATTTGGTAATTTATTAGTACGTTTCATTAATGAATGAAAGACAACTTAGTGGGACTCTCTATTAGTGTCAACAACTCAAGGTATCTGAAATACAGGCTAAAGTAAATTAGTGAGCATTTCTGTACTCATATGAGAAAACGAGGTGTCTCAATTTAAATTGTTGCCTTTCTCTCTTAGTCTCAACTTTCCTTTTGCTGCTAAGTAGTTGAGGTACAGTAGCATAAGGACAATGTGAACTTAGGCCAAAGGGTTTCAACTACATAATCTATTTATGGTAAATGTTGAAACCATCTTGCCTGCATATTCTTATAGCTTATTTGGTGATTGATTTTTAGTCTATTTTATCAACAAGTCATTCACCATCATGTCACTTCTTGATGCAGTTTGCAGATTAAACCTGCTTGCAACCTGCCTCTCAAGTGTCTTCGTGGAGGGGGGAAGATTGTTATTGTGAATCTTCAGGTACATGATAACTGCTTTCTGTGCTTATCTGATCCTAATGCCCCCTACCTTTGAAAGGAATAAGTGAAGAAATGGGTGACTGACTTGGTGCTTTCATTTTTGCCAATATATAATTGCTCACCTTTTTCCATTGTGATTTTTGAAGTATACTTTATCTTATTTTTGACAGCCACTTGGACGTATAAATATGCCATGTGATTTGGTACTTTTACTATTGTTATTTGTACTAGTCTTGATTGTTGGAGAACACTAAGTCTGATGTTCACAGAGAATAACCCTCATGCGAGTCATGCCATTATAAAGAAGATGAAAAGAGATTGAGGAAAAAAATTAGAACAATCTATCAAGGAGAATCCGCTAATACGATGATATTGTTCTAATCCTTGCTAGAATATGTTTGGAATTTTGTTCACAACACAGATATGATGATATTGTTGCTATAGTTGACTTTGGCCTGTCATTGCTATGATGATCCATGCAGGAAACTAAGGAAAGTTAGAACTTAGAACTAAGAAGTTTTATTTTCCTTTATAAGGATGTTGTTCACTGTTGAAATTTGAACCCTAAGCTCAGTCATTGTCCGATTTCCTTCATCATGCAAACTCTTTGCAGAGACGCTAGTTATACATATCATGTTTGTATTTTTTATTTATTTTATATATATTTTTTATTTTTGCAGGAAACTCCTAAAGATAAGAAAGCAAGCCTTGTGATCCATGGGCTTGTAGACAAGGTATGTTTTGTTCATGTTGCTTCTGGTTTGGCCCTCAGTAGCTTCTGTTCCAGCTAATCTATAATCTGAAACAATTTGCTTATACTAAACTCAGGTGATTGCTGGTGTCATGGAAAGTCTTATTCTACACGTTCCTCCATTTGTTAGGATAGACCTTTTCCAGATTTTTCTTAGTCAAGCTGTTAGCTCAGGTATCTTGGAAATGATTATTTTTTCTGTGAAAAATTGTTTTATCTCATATAACCTGTGAATTTTCCATGTTCATTTGATGTTGCTACTAAATGCTGAGTTATGAGCTATGGAAATATTTTCTCCGTTCTTTTTTAATCACAACGTTGGAGATTTCATTTTCAAGATAGCCAATGCACATTTTATACATAAATATTTAAATTATATTTTAGTAAAAGTTAAAAAAAGTTGATTATTTGAAAGTCAATTTTGAGATGAAACTATCAAGATCCCACATGAGTTTTTTTATTTTTTATTATTATTTTTTTTTTCCAACATATAAATCACAAAAAATGATCAAAGGAGTGTCTGTGAATTGTGTAAAATCTCAAATGTTGCGATTAACAAAGAACGGAAGAAGTATAATATTACAATATGTAATTATATCATCCAAAAAAAATTAGTAAATTTTGCAAAATAACACCACAAAAAAGCCACGATTTTGATTATAACACCACAAATTTTAAAAACTTTTATTATAACACCACCAAAAAACCCAAAATTTTGATTTCACCACCACTTAACTTTTCCATCCAAAAAACCGTTAGTGGGTCCTACATTGTACATGTGTCAATTATGTATTGGATTAAAAAAAATAAAAAACAAAAAAAAAAAATTTAAAAAAGGAAAAACCTTAAAATTACCCAGCCACCATCGGCGCCGCCGGTTCCTACCGCCGTTCTCCAACCCATCCCCCACCGCCGTCACCCAATCCCAACCGACCACCCTCGACCCACAAAACCAGCCAGCCGACCACCCTCGACCGTCGAAATCCGCCCAACTGTACCCACGAAATAACCAGCCCCGATTTAGTTTCAGGTGAGGGTGAGAGGAGTAGGGCGGTTTGTGGGTTTGGGTATGGGTGTGCCGGTGTGGGTCGGGGTTTCAGCGACGACTTTGGGTAGGGTAGAGGAGTTTGGCGACGGTGGCTGGCTGGCAGTGGCGGATTCAGGATTTAAATAATAGGTTGTCCCATCCCATCATCGTCCACCGACCGCATAAAATATCAAAAAATAGTCAAAGCTTGAATGATGGACAAAAAAAAATACATAAAAAGTTCATTTCATAAAGTAATTCAAATTCATATTACAACTAAAAAAGTACTAATTTTATTACAATTGCTCTCGACGAGTTTTCATATTTTGATAACGATGTATAATATCATCCATGCTAACATTGTAAAACAAATCTCTTTCTAGATAAGTAATCAAACAATCATTCAACATTTGATCTCCCATGCTATTACGCAATTTATCTTTAACTTGCGTCATTCCAGAAAATACTCTTTCTACACTTGCCGTTGCAACGGGAAGAATCAACACTAACTTCAAAAGTAAGTACACTCGGTCATGAGTTTCAAACTTTCCCGTCTCAACAAGTTTCGTAGAAAGTTCACTTAGACTTTTCAAATTCCAAAATCTCTCATCATTTCGAACATCAACAATGAAATTTTCAAGTGAATGTTCAAAAAATAATAACTCAGAGCTTGAAAATTCACCGGGATAAAATTTAGCAAGTTGAACTAACTTTCTTTTGTCAAAAGAATGAAACCGATTTGCAGGATTAAAGCAAGACATACACACAAGTAATTCCTTACTTACCTCGGGAAATCGATTTTCAAGTTCTTGTAATTGAAGATCAATGACACTTAGAAAAACTTCAACTCTAAAATGATGAAGATTAGTCACATGTGGACCTTTACCTCTATACATTCTTCTCCCAGGAACCACATATCGCCCCTCCATGTTTGGAACCTCAATGTCATATTTAGCCATAAAAGAAGTGACTTTTTCCATATGTGAATCCCATCCTTCATCTCTCAACTTTTGCAAACTAGTCTTGGTTACATCAACCATGACCATTGCATTTACAATATCTTGATCATGTTTTTGCAATGCCACATTCAACGCATTTGTAATGCCAAATATATCAACCATCAAGTGTGCCACAAACACAAAATCAAATGACATCAACAAGTGTGTAATAGATTGTGCTTTATTCGAATCAAGTGTATCAGATACTTCTGCAATGGAATCAAGTGACAAAAGTATTGAAGGATATAAATCAAGCACATTCAAAATGGTTTTAAAGTGAGATCCCCAACGAGTATCACAAGGTCTACATAAGCCACGTTCTTGATTTAAACCAGTTCCCGATTCAATTTCACCCAAAGATAATGCTTCTACAACCCCTTGACGTTGTTTTTCTCGAAGAAATTCTTTCCTCTTAGGTGAACCTCCCACAAAGTTCAAGAGAGGTGCAAGTACGTCAACAAAAAGCCAACCACAATCTGAGTTTTTCTTAGCAAGTGCAACTTGTGTCAATTGAAGTTGATGAGCAAAGCAATGAACAAAGTATGCTTGAGAACATTCATTCAATATTAGAGTTTTAAGGCCATTGATTGAACCTTGCATATTACTTGCCCCATCATAACCTTGACCTCGAACTTGAGAGAAAGTTAAAGAGTGTTCCATGAGTAATGACTCAATAGCAGCTTTGAGAGTCAAAGAACTAGTATCAGGAACATGCACAATACCAAGAAAACGCTCACACACTTCCCCCTTTTTATTAACAAATCTCAAACAAAGTGTCATTTGTTCCTTATCGGAAACATCGGCAGATTCATCAGCAAGAATAGCAAAAAATCCACCATCAAGTTCTTCTAATATTGCTTTAGTTGTTTCTTTAGCACAAGCATTGATTATATCTTTTTGGACACTTGGAGAAGTAAGTTGACAATTACCAGGGGCCATTTTAAAAACAACTTTGGAATACTCAGGATCATGGTTTGAAAGAAGAGTTAATAACGAAAGAAAGTTACCTCTAGATAATGAACTTTCCTTTAGGTAATGAACTTTGGAACACAAAATCGGCGTTTTTTATTCGGCCCAAAAAGTGTTTGAGGAAACACATGATCTTTAGGTTGACATGGCTTTCTTTGAATGTATGTTCTCCGCACTAAATCCCTATCATCGGGATGAAAATCACACATCCTTCTTCTTTTTCCGGGGTCTTGTGGAAGATTAATAATATCAAGTGCACTTAATCTTCCTTCACCAATTTGAGCACTAGGATCCGAACCACCTTGGGGAAAAGATTGTCCATCTTCATATTGAGGGAAATTGTGAGATGGGGAAGAATGTTGTTCACTAGCATGATGTAAAGGAGTACTTGGTTCACTTTCTTGAGAGGGTAAATCATTTTGTGGAGGAGGATCATTTTGTGGAGGAGGAGGATTTAGAGTAGGCACTTTTTTAGTAAAAAAACTTGAAATATCTTGAGTTATTTTTCTTTTCATTCTGAAATTGAAGTTAGGTTGAATTAGATAAATCATACAAGTAGGGTTCTCTCAAGGTTATTAAAACTAATAATATCATAAAAAAAAACGCCCATTAACCTCAATTTCAGTCCACCCTTCAACCCCAAATCTCCAAATTAGCAATCACCATTCTCAATAGCTAATAAATGTACTTAGGATTAGATTATACCTGCTGCATTAAGTGAACAAATTGCATACTATTAAGTAACTTTACAACCATGCATACTATACTTTACAATAAATTAGGCTAATACACATACCATTATCTAAACTGCAACTATATCTACAACCATGCATACTATACTCTACAATAAATATAGGCCACTATATATAGAAACTGAGATATAATATCACATTATAAAATAGCTATAGACTCCACAACAACTGTGCTCATGTGAACTTTTGTATACATCAAGTAAGCTAAAACTATATCGAACTAAAGATTCTTAATCATTGTAAAAGTGCAGTGGCAATAAGATTCAACAAAATCATTGTAAAAGTGCAATGGCATTAAGATTCAACAAAATATCTTGATAGATGCAGGCATCTTTTCCTATTTTCAGATATACCCATGAGGTTGCTCCATACAGATTGCATTGTAAGGTCAAATCTGGACTAATAATAGCAGTCAAGGCTTAATAATTCACACTTGCTAAAATACAAGACTCTTGCTAATGCATAGACACAGATATTTGATTCCCTAACAAGTCATACTATCAAATGAGTACTACTTAGACAAATCATTCACATCACAGATTCAACTATTATAAATTCCCTCTAATACACTTGAATCTAGAACACAACTATTCTTATTAAAGATGACGATATTAGCAATAAAGATAGCCATGATATTAGTAAAATTTAGAGAACCAATTCAAGGCTGTAACGGTTTAGTTACTTGTCAAAATTTGTATTAAAATTGCTACTACTTTAACTCATATTTTAGGAATAACTCATGTGGTAATCAAGTGACGATAATCAAGTGGTGACATTCAAGCTTTTATAAAGTCATACAAATAATCAAGCACTAATCAAATCAAGAAATTTCACCCAAAAAAAAAAAAAAAAAAAAAAAACTCATACACTGATATAGTGATATTAAACATACTGATAATTTTGATTTAAACATTTAAATTGATGATTTCATATAGAAATATAGAATCTAATCTCTATAATCTTATTGCAATGTAATTATATAAATTAAAAGTTTAAAACTAACCTCAAAAAAATCGAATTTGGGGAGCCACTGCACGAGCACGACGCTAACAAACTCACAGACGGATTGACGATTTGACGGACGCCTCACTCATACCTGACGGAGAAGCACGAAAAGGCTGCCGGGCTGCCGGCGAGGCGGCGATACGGTGAACGGCGACGGGGCTTGGGTAATTGGGTGACTTTGAGACTTAGGGTTTCAATTTGGGGGAATTGGGGATTTGGGGATATTTTAAATCGTGAAATTGAGGTTGTAAAGCCCAAAAAAAAAAAAAAAGTTTGAGAGTAATGGGAGTCGAACCCGTATCTCATATGTGGTAGGATGGGGAACAAACCACCAGACTACAAGCTAAAACTCTTGATACTTAGTTTTTTTTTTTTTTTTATAGAAAATAATAGGTTGTCCGCGGACCCACTATGACTACACGTGGGTCCGCCACTGCTGGCTGGTTAGGGTTGGGGTTTGGGTGGTTCGGCGACGGATTCGGGTCGGGGAGACGACGATGGGGGTTGGGCTGGTTTGGGTTGGGGTCTGGGTGGCTCGGCGACGGTTTCAGGTCGGGGAGACAGCGATGGGGGCTGGGCTGGGTTGGGGTGACGGCTGTGGTAGGGTAGGGTTGACGGCCGTGGGAACCGGCGCCGGTGGTGGGGGTGGTGGCTGGGTTAGGATTATAGGGTATTTCTTTTTTTTTTGATCCAATAGTTGATTGACACGTGTACTGTGTGGGGCCCACTTAACGGTTTTTTTGGACCACAAAGTTAAGTGGTGGTAAAACCAATTTTTTGGTTTTTTTTGTGGTGTTATAATAATTATTTTTTTTTTTTTTTTTTTTTTTTTTTTTTTTTTTTTTTGTGGTGTTGTAATCAAAATCGTGACAATTTTGGGGTGTTATTTTCTAATTTATCCAAAAAATTATTTAGTTTAAGAATGTAATAAACTTTGTAACTCTCATTTTAAAATTTGAAAATCAAATAACTCTTTACTGTTCGTTTTTCACAAGTAAATTTCTGATGTATTTCTAATTGTCTTATCTCATGTAAGGAGGTAGTTTATAGCTTCAAAGGAAGTGTCAATTATTTACTTGCTTTTGACATGACTTTTGTTGCTTCTTTCTTTAATTCATGTTTATAAGGTACTTGTTAGCATAATTATTAGGGATTGGTTGCTTGTAACTTTGTTTTAGAATAAATGAAAGTAAGTAATTTTTGTTAATTGATGTCTTGATGATGATATTCAATGTGTAATATTTTTCTTTGATAGCCATTTCCGTCCATTTGGAGCAACAATGCTGTTTATTGTATCTTCTTATCGTTTGTGTGTCTGTAGATAAAAGATACATGAACTGGAACCTTAAGGTTGAAAGCGTACATGGAAACAGAGCTCCACTGCCATTTGTTAAAAGTGTTGAGGTAACTGTTCTGAAATCTCATTTATCAAAGTTCCTTCTGTAATTGATCTAAAATCTTACATTAAGTCAACTGTTGGAGCTGTTCAATAAGCTAAGATGCATATATATTTTTTTTCCGTTCCTTTTCTGTTTAAAGCTATGGCGAATGACATTAAATTAATAGTGGTAGATTACTGTCAATTGTTTTGCTGTTGCTTGAACTGTTGCAAGTGAGTTGGATATTAATCTAGTGGTCTAACCAAGATATAAGTTTTGTTCCTAATGTAGGTTCTGTCCAGTACTTCTCTTGTGGAAGATTTACCCAAAATGTAGTCCATGGAAAAGATCAAAAGAAGTGGTGTTAAATTACAAAAGCTAGATTACTAAAGTTGTGCAATGTAGAAAAGCATAAGAAGTGGTGTTAAATTACAAAAGCTAGATTACTAACGTTGTGCAATGTAGAAAAGCATAAGAAGTGGTGTTAAACTACAAAGTTTGCACACAAAATAGATTTGTAAAGTTGAAATAGTAGGCTGATGTTTAAAACAGCTCTAGGACTACCGCAAAGAGTGATTTGATGATCTCAGGAGAATGATATAGATCTATAAAGTTTGAGTGATTATGGAGAGAGGGGGGGGGGGGTAACAACGGTGTTACGCACAAACTTTTAGCATGATTGAAATTTTGATGGTTAGTTGTTAGGCAATATTACTAATGGAGTACGAGTATACACTACGTTTAATTTTGTCCTGAAATGTACTAAATTTTAAGCTGCCATGCGAATGTCCGTGGTAATGGAACTTCATCCTCAAAACAAGTGTTTTCCTTCATCAATTTCCAATATTTGGAGATGGACATTGGACTAGCATTACAGACATTGGCCTGACATTTTCATTACAATTTTTTTTTTCTGCCTAACCATACTGGAGTTGTATTTCTGGTTTTCTTTGTTGGGAAGTTGATAATGGGATCAGTTATCCTCTGTTATGCGCTGCCTTGATGACATTCTTAGCACAACATCAGGCCTCTCTAATTTTACTGCTGGACTAACAGGTTTGGCTTTTGCATCGTAGGTCTCCTTTGTTGACAGACAAGATCTGAAAGCTGCTGTGTTAGACAAGCAGCCATTTGTGCTGAAAAGGTATGCCGTATGAGTATATTTGTCAATGTATTGCTCTCTGATAATGTTACAGTACTAAGCAAATTTTATACATATTTTATTATTATGTTGTGGTGTTTAGTGATTGCCAAGTTGCCATAAAAAATTTCCACGACTTAATTATAATTATCTTCGTATCTCAGTGTTTTAAATAAGTCTGTGGCTGGATGGTTTGAGTAAAGCTGGCTGTTTATCAAGTGATTACATCTAATCTTAATTGTTGTTTTGTTTGGTATGCTGCCTTATATCCTCAAAACAGGAGGTTTGTGAGAATTGTGGAACCATTTGAACTGGTATTGAAAATCAACTTCATTGATGCCTGCCGTTGTCGCTATGCACAGATTAAAATTCCCGTCAATTTCAAAGTAAGTCTTGAGTTTTTACTGTCAATTTGTGTTATGACCCTATTGGTCCACTCGAATCCAAACTGAAATGATTGAATGTGCCCTGATCTAAACGACTCTTTTGCCACCTCTACTCACTAGAAGTGATCAATGTGCTGCAGAGAGTTATTTTATGCGGTTTATCTACTTATTTTTCTTAATCTTTTGATGTATGAAATGGGGTATATTCAGGTTTCAAGGAAATGTCCCCAATATGACAAGGAAGCAATATATCAAAATTTAAGAGAGGCAGCTGTGCAAGATTCTCGCTGTGGGCAGTATGAGGTTATTCAAAGAAAGGCAAACTTATCCCCAAAATACGACATTACAGTGTATGCTATTGTGACCAACATTGCAACCTATGATAAAGCTGTGGCCAAAGCATCATCTGAAGGAGTCGTGTGTAATGGAGATGCGAAAATAAAGAGCGAAAGCTTGATGTGTAACAGCTCAGAAACTGATAACAAACCACTGAGATTTCTCAAAAGGAAACACAGGCTTACTCACAGTCCCAAAACTGCTAACAAGCAACTGAGACTTCTTCAACCGAAAAGTAGGCTTTAAACTTCTGTTATCCCCAGAATTTCTGTAAATAAGATACCTTTCTTTCCCCTACTATCTTAGCGCCGTAAAAAGCATAGATTAATTTAATGGCAGTAATAAAAGATAAGTTATTATGGTGGGTATTATACAAAATTAGCGTTGCATATAGGAGGCTGAGTGAATTTTGTTAGATGTAACTCTCAGTCTTGCCGGTTTTCGGATGTGTAAATTGGTGGTAATCGGTGTAAACTCTATCTCATGTGCAGGCATTGCTCTGACAGTTTAAGATTATCTTCACTACTCACAACTATCATGAGTTTGTTTCCTGGTTTTTAGACACAGTCTAAGCTTTAACATAAACTTCCACTACACAACATTCTTAGTCTCATTGGCCCTTTGATGTGGGACCCGTATTCTAGTACATAAAATTTTCATTTTATACTTTGTTTCGAAATTTTTCAAGTAGTTTGTATGATGACTATCAATTTTTTAAAGTGTTACAGTTTACGCTATGTATAAACTTTAGCATAAAAGGTATTCATAATGTAACATTTGCATGAAAATTTTGAACTATTTGGTCTTGGAAAATATGCACTAAGGATCTTACTAATTACGGTTAGTTTTTTCTCGCAGATTTAATCAAACTTTGTAGAAACATGTTGAGAACTTTTGCAAATCTACCTAGACAAAAGGGATAGTTTGAACTATTTGCTAATTTAAGAATTAATATCTTAGGTGTAACATTGAATTTCAGTAATAGACATTAGAAATGGATCATTGCATAGATTTAATTGAAGACAATAGCTCAAATGAGTAGATAATTGGAATGAAATGAATATGATAATTGTATTGAACACTTAGCACCAACAATCCAACATTCATAATATTAGAAAGAAACATTAGACTTTCAATTTGTCAAAACACAAGCACATAAACGAATTGATTCAAGAGTTATATTATTTTCAACATATTTTGAAAGAAAAATTAAATGCCTAATCTATAAATATAGAGTAATCGATGTTCATTTTCCTCATGTGGAAGAATATAGCGTGTTATAGCTGTATTTTCTCACGTGGGCCTCATTTTTTACCGTTGCACACTAAGCGATACTGAATTACTAATCACTAACGATACTATTCTATTTTCTTTCTTTCGTTTTACTTTCTAGTTTTTATAGACTCTCTTGCAAGTCAAATTAAAATGTGTAACTTTAAAGATTTCAAGTGATATTGATTAACTAATAACGAATACATAATTGCTATAATATCTTTTACCTAATTCGTAACTAAAATATGAATGAGTAACAAATATGAATTTTAGGATTAAATAACGAGAGTTCTCATTACTTTATTCTGCAAACGGAAATAAATCAACATATTAGAAGGATAAAAACCTAGACCATAGCCTAGAAGGAAAGAATTGAGCTGGAAAATAGAGCCTAGATAACGCTAAATTTCTTAATGTGAGATTCACTATTTACCACCACTCATCGACTTGTACAAATCATAAAAATAACATTTTTATTCTCTCTTTCTGATAGGTTGTCGTGCACCTGTCAAAAATAAATTCCTAAAACCAACTAAGAATGTAGTAGGGTAAGTAGGGTCGAATTCACAAGGAGATGGTATTCAATCTAGCTTTCAAGGTATGGAAAAACTAAATTATGTCACGAAATTTGGATAAAAATAAAGTCTAAATCAAAATAAGAATAAAACAACTAATAAAGACCTAGGGTTATGGTTTACCATGTTTATAGTTCTAAATCTATCAAATATCAATAACAATTCAATCAATCAATTATCTAGAGCAATTGCTAAGCCTACGGTCGGGTCTTAACGCTCTCAATTCAACATATGTAGTTCGGTTGCTAACATACTTAGAATTGCTAATTGTAGGTAAGCCTCTAAAAGTAAGATATTTCGATTCAAACTCTTATTAACAATAATTAATCAAACAATTGATCAGGTTGCAAGATTAACAATAAAACACTATCAATTAGATAAATCAATAATCAAAATATTAATAACATCAATCAAGATTCATTATATAAACATGGCTTCCCAAACTCTAGAAAAAAAACTACTCAAACATGAAGTAAATAATAAAAACTAGATTTAAGGAATAAAACATAATTAAAAGCAAGAAATAGAAATAAAATACCTCAATGAATTGAAATAATAAACCCAAGAATCATCTGTGGAAGAATCCATGGAGATGCCATGAGAAACTAGGGTTGGAGAGAAAACCAATGAACGTAAAATAATAAAAGGTAAAAAACGGCATGAGGGAAAATAATATCACTTAAGTATCTATATTATCCTAAACCTAAAACAAATATAAAAACAAAATTAATAAAAAGAGTTTAATAATTGGTCGAATTTAAGAGTCATAGTTGATGTAGGATTTCTTATAGTTTGTGCGCACGCCCCACCCATCGTGCGATGGGTGGGCGATGGTCAGACGAGCTGCACCAGGAGTTCGGCCAGCGGGAGCTGGTTTTCCATCGCCCCAACAAGCAGCTCATGCTCGAGCGTACAGCACGTCCATCGCCTGATGGCTGGGCGATAGGTTGGCAGCTTCGCAAGGTCAACTTCGGAGAGCCATATCTCGAGATCTAGATATTGTATAGGGACATGTAACCTATTAATAGAAAGCTCTTCAAGTCTAGTTTCCAACGCAATTTGAATCACTTCTATTCAATCAGTAGAAATCAAGTTATGATCAAAAGAGTGACCAAAGGTCTATTTTGACACTTCGTTCAACATCGTTTAACTTCGTTTTAAACTCAAATTCAATCCCGAAAATTGCATAACGATCCTTGTGGATTCTATTCTGTAACACCCCTACTTCTTGTATCTTAATTGGCGTTACTGGACCATACTTAACTTGTCATTCGCAGCGGAATTAATCATGCATAATCATAATCTCATAAATACCTGTGGGATATGGGCCCACAAATAAAAAATACTCCTTAATCAGTGACATTCCTTTTAAGTAATACAACTCCAGTCTATCTTACTGTAATAAAAATAATCTATCTCTCGATAAAACATAATCCATAATACATAAACTCTTGGCTCTGGTTCTGTGATTATTCAATAATATAAATTCTTTTAATCACTTTGCCCTTGACTAACTTGAACTCCGTCATCATCATACATCATACTTGTGTATGTCCATAAAAATAGAAAACAGAGAAAACACAAGAAAATTTTCCAAAATGAGTGGAAAACTCAGTAATATTACTCTAACCCGTGAAACAGTTGTTCTTTCAAAATCATTTGAGCAAATATCATATACTTCATACATAGATAGTTGTTCAGAAATTATTTTAGTATCATTATCATTAAAAGTTGTGTCGGCAAGAGGATCATTCACTTTACATAAGATCATAGGTAAGTACAGGTTTTGGACATAACATAACTTTCATTCGTGTGGGATTGATTCCCCATTTCATTATCATACTTCCCTCCACCTGTAACTCACCCATTTATCATGTTCAGTTGATTTTCCAATGCCGACAAAAGTAACATCTATCGTATCATATTAAAACATTTCAGAACAACTTTATACCTCATATAAGTTCATAGCACATTGGCACATTTCATAATCATTCATTCGTAACACTTAAATAAAATAATCATAATCATTAAACATTTAACAGGGGTAGGACATTTCCTACTATTAGGGGGGCCAGTGCTCCTTACAGGGGAAGCCATTGCTTCATCATAATAGATCATGTTTGCATTTCTTATAAGTTAACAGAATAGCAAGAACAACAGTTATTCATAACATCTTGTAAAATGGTAAGACATTTTACAATCAATCATACATTTCAGTATATCGTAAATCATCAATTCGATATCCTTGTGAGTTCTCATAAGTCCTTTTATACATTTCATGTATTCATAACCTTTTGATGGACATGCTAGTCGCTGGACAGTATGACACGGCGGAACATCTTCCGCGATGGCCAGGTGCTCCATATAGTTAGGCCGGTGCCCCATGGGTACATGCGTGCATTGCATGACCGTTACTCGAGTTGCTTGGTTTACTCGAATTTCTCGGTCAGGGGTTACTTGAGTTACTCCTGACCGAGTAACCCCTCGAGTAATCCATGACCGAACCCTTCGAGTAATCCCTGACCTAGTAACCCCTGACCGAGTAAACCCCTCAAGTAACCCCTGACTGAACCCTTAAAACCGAACTCCTTAAATAACCCCTAACCAAATTACTTGAGTAATCCCTAAACCGAAATCCTTAAATAACCCCTAACTTAGTAACTCGGGTAACCCCTGACCGAGTAACTCAAGTAACCCATGACCGAGTAACCCCTCAAGCAACCCCTAACCGAGTAACCCTTGACCGAGTAACTCGAGTAATCCCTGACCGAGTAACCCCTCAAGTAATCCTTGATCGAGTGAACCCCTCGAGTAACCCCTCAAGTAACCCTTGACCGAGTAGCTTGAGTAACTCCTAACTAAATAACTCGAGTAACCCCTGCTACACGGTGTGGCCTGCTACACCAAAAAGTTGTTGCTTTCCTTTTGGTTGGCTTAGCTTACTAGCTAGATTATTGCCTTAACTCGATCTCTTGTATGTCGGATTAATTGAGGATTTTTTTAAAATGTCAAGAAGTTAAGCTTTAAATTGTTAATAACAAATTCGTCAAAAAAGTAGTATATTTTCATTTGATTAATAACTACGGAGTAGGATATAAATGAATTCGAAATTTAAGATTTAATTACGAGAGATCTCATCATTACCTAATTACCTTAATGTGCAAATCAAAAGGAAATCACAACATTTATACAATAAAAACAATTTGGTTTCCAAACTTTCGAAATATATTAACTTAAACAGATTGATTTGATTATAATACTTATATCGTATTATTTTTATATTATTTGAAATGAAAAAAAAAAGAGAATTCGAACCTATTTAACAAGCATTTTCCTTCGGAAAAAAAAAAAAAGCATTTAATTTATATCAATCCCTCCATTTCTTAATACACAATGTATAGATTATCGACCTTCTTAAGTTATAACTCCGATGATAACCTCTATTTTGTTTGATTTGAAACTAACACAAGTACTACATGGTTTTTTTTTTTTTTCTTCTTATTTTTATTCCTGGTTTTAGTGCATAATTTTGGGTGGGGTCACAAGAATAACCCCTCGCACCCTTCGCACCCCTTTTGAAACTAAAGGACCATATAACGTTAGTTGCCACTTGCAAGATAATACAATGATATAAATCGTTTTACTGCGTAGTAACACACACACACTTCATAATAAATACCCCCTTTTACGATTAAGTCATTCAT